ATGGTGAGGCAGGAGCAGCCATTTGAGGGGACTAGATTTCACTGTGGGTTTTAGGAAAGGTGCAGACTACCCCCCTGTCGTCTTCAAGGCTGGTCTGTGGAAGGTATTTGAGAGATGCTAGGAGCTGTCTCAGCGAGAGGGACAACTGATGACCCCCCGGGCAGCGGCGGCTCTGGAAGAGGCAGTGGGGAGAGTGGTCCCCGGGAGGTGCTGTGCCCCTGCCTCTCTGCCCGTCAGGGAGTTTGGCTTTCCACACAGTCATCTCCCTCGAAAGAGATTTGAGAGCGGGCTCCCGAAGAGATGCGCCTTCCGTCCCAGCGCCCGGCTCCTGAAAGAGCCGCTGCCAGTTCTACGGGGAAGGAGCCCAGGGCACCCCACGAATATGCAGACGCAGCCAAACGCTTTTCCAGCTCCTGTGTGTAGACACCGCACCGTCTTGCCGTAACTGACTGGGTTTTGTTTTTTTTTAAGCAGGGGAGGGGGCTAGTTCCCCGATTGATGCTCGGTGGCTGGCTCTGCCCACCTTCCGAGGCACAAGCCTAAGAATACGGGCTGAATCTGAAAATTCATTTGGTTTGCGTGCATCAACTTTCAGCTTCTCGTAAAGGTTATCTAGGACAAATGCAATCCGAGCCAAAAGAACTTCTGTGTGGTGCTATTTAGTGAAATGCTCAATTATACCGTATTATAGTCATCTTCTGCGTTTTCTTGGATGCGGTAGAGGAAATGAAGAGCTGGGTGTCCTCCATTAACTCTTAGTTGCTTCTGCTAGGAACGTCAATTCATTTGAGTGCTACCACCTGAATTGCGTTTACAGCCCAGGGCTGCCCTTTTGCATGATAATGTATGGTTATTCTGCTCAAGGATTTTGTTAGCACGTCATTTGAACTTTGTTTTGTCCATTAAATCCATTTGCTGATGAGCCTGGGGCTGGGAGTATACGCAGGGCAAACTGATCTTGTGAATTGACAAAATCGGGAGAACAGCAAATTGGACGTGTGGGTGGGTGTGCAGGTGGCGGATGGCTGGGAATGATTACAAATAAAACTACCACTAAATCAGAAGAGCAAACAAGGCAGTAACTCACTTCCCCGGTGTCTGCTACAGTAATTGAGAGAGAACCTTCCCTTACAGGTGTGTCTGAGCCTGTTTGCTTCGTGGGTACAACCTAAGGAAGTCAGATGTTACCAGAAGGAAAATCTTACGTGGAGTTGAACCCTACCCATTTCACGTGGGTGTAGGGAGCTGTATAGGGCACTTAAAAACAAATCAGCAAGGGGAGCCTTGATTCTCAACCAGTGTTTCCGTTTTCAAGCCTTGTGTGAACCAGACATGTTCTGTGGTGTTTCAGACTGCCGTGACCTGTGTGAGTTTGAAATGCTGCCTGGCCTTGTCAGGCAGGGTCTGTTGGGGTCTAAATGCGCCCTTGCAATCTATCCTTTTCTCCTCATGCTGTGGTTTACCCCATTTTGTCTTTTTGGGTGTGTGTGAGAAATCCACAGCAATTTCCATCCCTCTATGCTGTCTTCTTGCAAGGCACAGAAGGCAAGAATATCCTGATTAATAAATAATGTTCATCTGGCAGGACTCTCCTCTGTGCAAGACATACAAAGGAAGAAGAAAACCCAGATTCTTGAAATGTTCTTGGCAGTTGCAGAGTCTCGTAACTATTATTTGTTTTAGGGAGACTGCTAATACATTTTACAGCAGGGTGTTTCCCCTCATTAAATACAGCTCGGTTATAGGATGAAATGCAAGAAGTGCAAATCCAGCAGAAATTGACCCTGTTTGGGCACATTGATAGCAGAGATTATCATTAATGGAAGATTAAATAGATTACATAAAAAAGGATTTGAATTTGTAGGGCATGTGGAATTTTTTTTTTTTTTTAAAGCCTACAGCTGTACTTTTCTGATACATACAAGCATCTCTGAGGATACATGTAAAATTCTCTGAGGCTGCAATATCCACTGGAGGGGAGAAGGAGAAGAAATGCAATCTTTCTGCCGTAAGATGTTGACATGGTGTGACCCCAAAACATGTATTTGCATCTGCCACTAGCAGCTCTTAGGAAGAAGGAATTTTTTTAAAACAAATTCATCCTCATTTCCTAGGTTGAGCTGCTTCTGTGTCCACTGCTCCAGCTGCTATTGAAATGAAAGTCATGGGTTCCATTGTACCATGTGAATACAAATCTGACATGACAAATCTTATGCCCTGCTTTCAAAATAGTGCACATCTTTGTGTGATCCTGTGGCTTGGCAAGGCACATATGTGGGCAGGAGTCATAGGTTATTTAGCATTTCACAGCTTTTGAGAAAAGAAGAAGCTGTCTTTATGTATACTGGTTTATGTCGCAGTTTGTTTAGTTGTTCTAACACGTTAGCATGGGCTCAAAATATGACTTAGGAAAATGGAAGGCAAATCAGGAGCTATTTTTCCATAAAGCCGGATGATTGCCCACCTGAAGCAAATGTTGGTAAAGGCTTTTCTCTCTGTGTGTATTCATCTGAGGAGATGTTGTGAAATCTCTCTTTTTTTGTGGGTGTACATAATGACAATAATTCTTGGTTGTGTTTCACTCAAAGTCAAGCTATCTGTTAGCTGTTTTTAAAGTTCTTGATGAAGATCCCTCAGGTTCTGACTAAGCAAACGCCAGTTACTCATCAGATCTCTCTCTGTCTTTTGTGCCTGCCTGTGTTTCCTATGATCATGCATGGACTATGGCTTTTCAGCATACGCCTCTTTATCTAGTGCTCAACATAGAAATCAATCATTGATTTAGAAAGATAGTCCAACCTATAGATCAGAAAAATCAACCAACTGACGGGAACACACCAGTGAGGTTTTATTTTTATCAAGCCATTGGCTTCATTCTAAAGACTCATGCCCTGATTTTTCCAATATGCATTTTTCATGGTGTTCTGGGTTCTTCAGTAATGTTATTATCTTTAAATTGAGATACTGTACTTATAAGAATTCCTGTGTGAATTCAGCTATGAAATAGCCCTGTGGTTTCTCTTGTGTTCATATGACCAAAGGCTAATGCAGAGAACTCAGGTCAGGCAGGTGGGGCTTGACTAATGCACAGTAACCAAGGAAAGAGATGTTACAGAACTCTTAATCAATATATCTTGTGAAGTCCAGTTGTGACATTTTTTTTATGAGTCCAGATTGCAGCCTGAGTATTCTTTGATTTCCTGCTAAAGATTTTCTGGTCCAGTCGTTTATCCTAGTCATGCCTCTGTCTGTTTGATATGCACAGCATAGGTTTAAGTAACAAGCTTCTGGCAGATGAACTGTTACCAACACTGACATTTTGGTAAAAGCTGTTTGTTTTATTTTGCACTGACTCAAATATCTTCTTCACATTAAGGATGACACTTAGATGGAACTGCGGGGTTTTCACCAACTGGAGGGTGTTGTGGGAGGTGCCAAACCGTAGTAAAACCAGACCTACTCTTCCCAGAGCTCTAAAACATTCTGCCAACAAATGACATATATCTGTGAACACTTCACATTATGATCATGAGCTGTCATTGAAATCAAGGGGAGCATGTATGACTGTAAAGCACATGCCTTCAGCATCCACTAAGATTAATATGTCGGTTATTTATTAATCTGTAATAGAACAAAAGCTGTTGAATTAGGGAAAAAAAACCCTGAAGTGAACAACTGGGAGGTCTAAAAGCATTTGCCTTTTCCTCATTCCCACTTACTTTCTATTCACATACCATGAGTCAATGTACCACAGATATGATTAGGTTTGTGTTTCCCACCTTAAATACTTGAAGGCTACTGTCAAGATAAAAGTAATTAATACAGAATTGTAGTCACAGCACTGAAGTGGAAGTTATTGTAATTTTATTTTATTTTTTCATATATTACAGCTATATTTTGCATCATCTTTTTAAATTAAATTGGATGACACTGGACTTAGTACTGTTTTCCATTTATAATCCTCTTTATAGTTAGGGACTAGCACAGTTATCACTGAGTTCATAAGGAAGTGGAATGTTTAAGTAAGGCCCTCTCACAGATACATACATTGATTCTATTCGGATATATTTCCTCTCTGTTCCGTTTACTTAAGTATTTGTTGGAATCCATGACCTAGGAGAGCTTTCACAGCACCAGTATGATGAGAGGAAGGAATGTTGCTGAAATTACTCCATGCTGCCTTTTAATCCCAAAGAAAATTCTTTTGGGGGCTGTAAGGCTTCTCATTCCATCAGTTTAACCTGTGATCACTGGTAAAAGCAAAGTCTTGCATTTTATTTGTCGTATTTTTTGTAGCATCTGTACAAGGACATTATGTGATATATTATATGTTGACAACAGAATACCATTATTAAATTAAAGTATTGATTCATGGCAGAGTATTACACTAAAGTGATGTCAGTGGTTTGTCTAAACCCACAGAAAATGGAAATTAAAAATTAAAGCAAAAGACCTGTCTCTATCTACAGTATTGTGTGTAGTGTTGCAGTACATTTATCATCTGACTCAATGCTTTGAAATCTCCTGCAAAGCCTAGCAAATACATGATTGGTATGGATTTAGCTTTGACTTTATCTTTAAATTCAATAGCTCATGTAACTTTCAGGAAGTACCTAAAACATCCTAGTGTTTGGCTTTGCTGATTTCTCCCATGGCTTGCTTGGTAGCACAAGGAAAAGTGCCTACTAAAATTGTGTAGGACCACCTGGCCACAAATAAATATAAATAAATAAACCACAAGAGACTTTTGTATGTTTCTGAGCCTGGCAGTTTCTTTTTTTCAGATTCTCTGTGGTTTGAACAAGTTTGCAATGCTCTAGTCTTAACAGCACATATGTGTGCACACACAAAATGCAGGCAGGTGTTTGTGCATTTGCACAGTACCTGTTTTTGACGAGGATCAGGACCTCAAAGACTGTAGTAATCTCAGTGTTTGCTAATCAAGACAGCTACTTTGGTTGCAGTGCTTGTCCTTGCAGTGTCGCTCAGAAAAGAAACCTGGAGGTTTCATTGCAGCAAATTAGACTGAATGCCATGTTAAAATACATTGTTTCAATTTATTTTATTTTTTTTTTTTTTAATTTGGAAGTCTCTTTCAGGTTCTGCTGTGTGGAAGGGATTCATTGGCACTGTTACTGTTAAGCATAGGTACATATATTTTTTTGTTTTATGAGAGTAGACAAAACTCAGTAAGGAAAACCAGTAAGATGCTTTGTGTAATGGAGATGATTTCTTACTGTAAGGATTTTGGTTCTTGGATCAATGTGGTGAGGGTTAGAAGTGTCATTTAATAAGGTGCTGTGCTCCAGATCAAAACTGGCGTTATGCTTTCTCATTGCTCAGATTTAAATTTCAAAGGCAGACAGCTCTTAAACTTGCTTCCATACTTCTACCTTCCCCTTCATACCTAATCTCAAGTCACTCCACTGAGTAAAGTACATCTTCAGTGAAGAAAAGTAGCTCCCTGTGAGGGCTTGAGCAGACAGGCGTGCCAGGTGAGGGCACTTCTGACCAGGACAAGGGAGAGGATGAGCATTCAAGTGGCTTCTAAGTAATACACAGAGGAAGTAAATGTGCATAGGTGGACAAGTGCTTTTTGAGTGGGTTTTTACTTTTTGTCACACAGGTCTCTGGGGCCCCTTGGTAAAATGCATTCAAAAGGAGAAAAATGAACAAAGCAGCCACAAGGAAAATTAAAATAGCAACTACATTTATAAATTTTAGTGTCCTTTTCACAGAAGAAATACCTGATGGGATGAACTCTTACTGGTGAAATTTCCTGATAGTATAGGGAAAAATACATTTACTAAATGCTTATTGCTAACTGTTTGAATGTTTGTTTCTGAAACTTGATCTCAACATGCTCAATACTGCTCTAGGAGTATTTAAAACTGTGGAAAAAATAAGTAAAACTTAGAAAATTTTCTGTCCTCCAAGGGCAGTATTTTGCATTTCCAAAATTGTGTAGCATGTAAATAGGATTCTGTCCTTTTTACAATGTACTACTCCTGATACTAATCAGCTTCAAAGACAATTCACTTCATATCATGTTTAGCAGCTAATTCTTAATTTATGTTTTTTTCCTTGTAGTAGTTTGATTCTTGTATTTCTGCAAGAATTAAACCTTTGGGAAGAGCTCAGGTAGAATGAGCTTCACACATAACTGAGTGAAAGAATGAAAATCTTTGGTCTGAAATACTAGAAGAAATTCCTGCTTTAGTCACTGTAAAATAAGCCCAGCAACTTGCGAAGTTTCCTCTTTTTGCTTTAACATCTCCTTTCTGTTTTTAACTTTCTGGTTTTATGGCTTTTCTTTTTAAGATTTTTATTAATCTCTTGGCAATTCTAAGGGCCCTACAGTTGTGTCCCATCCCTGCCCCACATTTGCATTTTGCAGGGAAGGTGCACATTAGTGGTGCGTATATACTGGTAGCATGGTAGGTGCTCTTTGTAGAAAATGCATCTGTATTTTAATCTGTATGAAAAGACCTTTAGCTGAGGTGTTTAGCACCGAGGCATAACTTTCTTAGTAAAGAATTGAGGAAAAAACATCTTGATAGTATTCCATATGGAAGTTATGCTGAATTAAGTAGCTCAGAGTTTTTCATTTTTATGATGAGATTGCTTTATGGACAATTTTTGCAAACTTATAGGCCCAATTTAGGTTGTGCCAGTAATGCCTCTTCTCTTTTTAGAGTTATGCATCTGCAGAATCAGGGTCAATTTTTGTGAACATCTGTGTGATTAAATCTGTTACTGTGTCTTAGATGGTATTATGAATGCTTACAGAACGTGCCTGTGTAAATAAATGTACATCAGCTTTAAAGTGCTTTTTAAAATTTGCCAGCATTATTTAGATATACTTACTAGAACTGAGATTCCAGTATTGCGATTTCTTTTGTGTGTGTGTGTTTAGCACTTTCTTGAAAAATGCACCATTGTCACATTTATTCTTTGCCCAAAATAAGTTCTGTTGTAAAATCTTTCTGATCTGGGGGACTGTAGTTGCTTAGCTGTAGGTTGTCACAGGACCTTTGGGTCATGAATTACATTGCACATCACTTCTAAATTTGTTGCACATCACTTCTAAATTATTTCCTTATCTTTTTTTTTTTTTTGATGTTCCAGAAAATAATGCTTCCAGTTTTGTACACATTTTCTCTGTATTCCTCAGCTAGATGTATGTCAACACTGACTTCTTCCTAAAGCTTATACAGAGAAAATGTTTTCTAAAATGTTAGAGATGCCAAGTTGTGTTTTGAGATTCAGTTATTTTCTAAAATAGAAATTATGAAATTATCTTCACGTTGTTGATTTCACAGCATTATTACTCTTAAAGTTCAAGATTCTAGTTCAGTCGGAACTGTGCCTTGATTGCTGGTTGTTACCAGATAGAGGGGCTATAGCACTGTGTAACAGCAAACCATTAAATTAGCATTAATAGCAAATAGCCTTTTTTCCAGATCTGATTATTCTCGCTGATGTCAGAACTTGTAAAGCAAGCATTTGAGATAAGACGGGGTTATTCTCTTGGAAGGGCTTTGGTGGTCTGTTTTTACTGCAGTGACAAGTTTTTTTTTTTCCCCTGATGTGGTTGGCAAGGAAAGTAGAAAATGTACAATCTAATCTGCAGTTGCTGTGCTGCTTCTAAATGCAAACTCTATTTTAACAAAAAAAACAAACAAACAACAAAACAAAACAACCCTTGCATCAGAAGGTGTTGCTAACCTGCAAAATTGTGCTGCATTGTGAAACTTTTGTCTCCCACTTTAATACATAATAAAATAGCGTTTCCAGTATGCTCAGAGAGGCTGAGTGTTGTAGCTAGCTAACCGTCTCAGTGTCAGAAAGATACTGATGAAATCTAAAAAAGATATAGGGAATATTTGTGTCCTCTCCCCCTGGTGAATTACAGCATAAGTGGTCAGAGGGTTACCATTAAATGCTATCCCAAAAGTTTTGGCTTGGGATTGATTGTGTCATACTTGCTAAAAAAAAATAAAAATACCTATTAACTGTCTTCCAAAGGGTTGTGCTTTGTTAGTATTGTGTGGAGAGGAAATTAGTTTTCTTTTTCAATCTCTTAGTGAATTTACAAAAGAGGAGCAGGGGTTTTGCTTGAAACCTAGAGATAACCAGTACTGAAATGGTAGTGATTTTCCTGCCGTTTAAGAGTATCAAATATGAAGAATTCGTACTGCCAGGGTTCAGTGGGCAGTGGGTTCAGGAACTTCATGGAGGGGATTATTCTGATTTCTGATGTGTGTCAGGGCTCCTGATTTAGAAGGGTAGAGATACTTTTATAGTTATTTCATAAGTAGCTAAACCACATTAGTCTTTGGCTGAAATCTGGCCCAGCTGCATGAGGGTCATAATGTTAAAAGTTCAATCTTCTCTCTCTTTCTCTCTCTCTCTTTCTCTCTCTCTCTCGCTTTCTCTTTCTCTCTCTCTCTCGCTTTCTCTCTCTTTCTCTCTCTCGCTTTCTCTCTCTTTCTCTCTCTCGCTTTCTCTCTCTTTCTCTCTCTCGCTTTCTCTCTCTCTCTCGCTTTCTCTCTCTCGCTTTCTCTCTCTCGCTTTCTCTCTCTCGCTTTCTCTCTCTCGCTTTCTCTCTCTCGCTTTCTCTCTCTCGCTTTCTCTCTCTCGCTTTCTCTCTCTCGCTTTCTCTCTCTCGCTTTCTCTCTCTCGCTTTCTCTCTCTCGCTTTCTCTCTCTCGCTTTCTCTCTCTCGCTTTCTCTCTCTCGCTTTCTCTCTCTCGCTTTCTCTCTCTCGCTTTCTCTCTCTCGCTTTCTCTCTCTCGCTTTCTCTCTCTCGCTTTCTCTCTCTCGCTTTCTCTCTCTCGCTTTCTCTCTCTCGCTTTCTCTCTCTCGCTTTCTCTCTCTCGCTTTCTCTCTCTCGCTTTCTCTCTCTCGCTTTCTCTCTCTCGCTTTCTCTCTCTCGCTTTCTCCCCTTTCTCTCTAACTAACAGTGACTTTTTCCTTAAACATTTTGGGTTTCTTTTGCTTTTAGATTTCAATCTTTATTTTGTAACATGTTAATAGAGCATACCATACATTTCACAGGGTTGGCTGCTTATTTATAAAGACTATGCTCAGTGTAATAAAGTAGATTACAATTTGTTTCAATTAATCAAAAATGTTAGAAAGTTGCAAGCTAAAACGATTTAGAAATTGTAGTATTGAAGAGGTGAAAATACTCATTGAATGTTTTTTCAGGGTTTATAACATTCACACTTCTAAATTCACTGATTATCTCAAAGCAATGTAGAAATGACACAGTCTGCTACTAAGCTGAGATTGTATACTTCTGCAGCAGGTTTTCATAGTGTACACAGATTCTCTTTCTGCCAGAGCTGTTCTGTTAGGAGGTTGTACCTTTACCTCAACTAATTACCTTCTGAGCTGTGAAGATGATGACATTAATGCTCGTAATGGTAATAAAAGCAACATAGAAAATTCACAGGATAGTTTTAGATTCATAGGTTCGAAAGCTCATTTGTATCGGGAAAATGAACATTTGCCACTTGGTCACTGCTGTTACCTTGCCTTAGAGAAGAAAGGTGGCAGATGGACAGTGGAGATGATGGGGTGAGCTGTACCCATCCTGCACTTCTGCACAAGGAGCTCTTCAGCAGCGTTTGGCCTTATCTGGGAAGACACAGCCTTTGCCTTGGCTCTGTCAGCATTAACTATCCTGCCTTGTTCTCTACAAAAGCACAGAGGGAAAGAAGTGTTGCTAATACCTTTTTGTATCTGGAGCACATTCATTACAGAGGCTTACTTAGTCCTAAATGAAAAGCAAGAATAGTAACTTAATATTTTAAATTGGTTTCAGAAATATCTGCCTGCAATAGGGAATTCTTACAGGTTTTAGGTCTTTGATGGCTGGATTTAATCTGAATATATGAATCTGAAATGTTAGTGTGTGATATGTTTAAGAGGGAAAGAAGCGTCTGATATTGTAATTATTATTTTATACGATATTGAAGAGATCACTTGCATCTACTGAATTTTAGTAATTGACTACACTACAAGGCTTGATTACACCTTGTGTTTACATACATTTGAAAAGCTATCATCTGTTACCTTGGCGGATGTAGGGGATGTGTAGCCAGCTACCACTGCAGCCAGCTGCCAGTGGAGTACCCTGAATCAAGTTTGAGGAGCTACTGAATAACAGCTCCTCATTTCTTGTTTGTTTGTGGTGCATATTTTGGAAACATGAACAGGTATTTGATAATAATTAAAATACATTTATCCCAGATTTTAACAGTGATCCTGGCTGCTGAGTGATACACCTGTAGAAAATAGAGTGTAGTGGACAGGCCTAGGCTAAAAGTCCTTAGTGTAAATAGATTATAATGAGTAGAGTCCTACAGTGAGGATGAGGTATGCTAGGTAATAAAAAGATTAAAGAATCTTTTGATATGTTTTATTTGCATACTGTGAGAATTTTGTCTGTTTAAAAGCAGTCTAGGTTTATTAGGGAGCTTTTATTTAGGGGGCTTTTAAGAAGCTACTATAAGATTCTATATCTAATTCAATATATTTGAATTATTTAGAGATTATTTTCAACCATCCCTTTACATTCTAACACTCTTAATATTTTTTTCAGGTTTGTAATTCTGTTTATGAATGCAGTCTATATGACAGCATAGACTTTTGGTCTTTTTCATTAACAAATACTACTTAAAAATAAATTTAGTATGTTTTGTGTAATGGAACAGAATTAGAATCTGAGGAGCTCGTATGTAACTGGGTATTCACTGGGAGCTGTAGGCTGCTCTGCAGTTATGTAAGAATCACAGCAAGAAGCAGAATAGACCACAGACAGGCACTAGACTGAATGTTTTACATGAGAACTAGTAATTAAAGCTTATTGAAGAATATAGAGTCCAAATGTAATGAAGCTCTTCTAATTATCATCAGATTTTGGTCCAACCCTGCACTGGCAAGAGGTGATTAAAAGTTTCTAAGTTCAGTTCAGCTCTGCAGAAACCAAAGTTGGGATAATCAAAACAGAAATAAAGGGTATATGAGGATATTAGATTAAATATATGTGATGTGCAATTTCAGTAGTAGTTGTGGAAAACAAATTGATGTAAAAAAATCCGAAGAAACCCTAAGCTCCAAGTGTAATATTGAAGACTCAGTGTTATTTTATGTCTTTTTTAGGTTCTTTTGTGTAATGATTTCCTCCATTGCAGGACAAAATAACTTTTCTCACTAGGTGTTGAAAAGTGTATCATAGTGCATAGATGGAGGTACTTCGTGTGAAGACAGCGCTCAGCCTTGAACACACTTCTGTGTTGCACTATCATCTTTGGAGCTCTGCCCTTTGTTACAATTGAATGAAATTACCTTGTCTTTCCAATGTCACCAGAAGAAGGGCAACTTTGACAGTGTAGAGCTGTTATAATAGACAGCTGCTATAGAATGACTTAATTTTCGCAATTTCGGCTTGCTTATTGATCTGCAGTTCATCCCCCAAAGTAGTTCAAACCTCAGTGAAAATAACAGACCACAGGTCATTGGTTGCTGGAAGTTAGGAGACCAGGACAGTCACTTCTTCTCAAGCTCAGGTTTTCTTATTTGTGAAATAAATACATGGTGAAGATATACAGATGAGAAGCGAGAGGTGTGTTACGATGAATGTTCAAAAAATAATAAGGAAATACTCTTCACAAGTCTTAATTTAAATCTCAGAAGTATCTCATATCCTTGATTGTGCTATTGGTTGTGCATGTGATCATTTTCAATGATTTTCTATCAATAAAAATATATTAGACTTTAGAATTAAAGAGGCAGGGACAGAAGCTTTTGGTTTTTTAGACGATTTAAAAGCATATCTCCAAATATAGCCAAGATACATCTCTGAATAATGGGGATGTATGTGAGAAACCCTAATAAGCCAGTTACTCTAGTTCATAATTCTTTAGTTTTTGTCCCGCAGTGAGTTGAATCAGGTTTGAATCTGGGACATGCATTAGCCCAAAACCTGCCATTATGACAACCCCATTTAAATCTTTTAAACTTAATTTTATAGTCAGTTGTCACTAGGAATTTTAGGAACTACTATGTTTTATATTGCTGTCTTGTTATATTTTAGAACTGAAGTGTTATTGTTGCCATATCTCACATCAAAAGGAAGAAACACTTTCAGTATGAGGTAGTCTTCTATAGATAGAGTCAAAATGCTTTCTGAGTAGGAGGGATCCTTATCCAAATCCAAAACCAATGAGGTAAGTGAGAATAAGTGGGCTCTAGGTAACATTTAAAATAAACAATTACAAAGGACTGACTTGCTTAGCTTTGTCTGTTCTGCATTCGCTCAGAGCTGACTTAAGTGTAGCTATGCTGATCTCTTAAGAAAAAAAAATCTGTTCTGACAATAATAATGTATTTATTACAGTGGATCACAAATGGAAAATGAGACAAGGTTTGTAAGAGGGGTATTCCAGTAGTTCAATACAACAGGAGAAAAACTGGCAAATAATTCATCTCTTTGGTGAGGTAACTGATTTCCTTTTCACTTTTCAGCCTCCTTCCAGTAGTAAGATTTTAACACCAACAAATGTTTAGGTTTTCTTTTTAATTAACTGAAAATGTTTTTCATAACTTGAACTGATATGCTTAGTTTTGAAGTACAAATAGGTTAAGTATGAACTTTGCTAAGTGTTGTCCCATTTGCTTATTTATCCTGCTGTTAGGTTGGGGGTTTAAGAACAATACCTGTATCAGAGAAACTTACCAAAGGTGGGTGAGAAACTGTTTATCATCTTAAAATTCTCACATATTCAGATCATCTTAGTAGTCTGGAGAAAGGTTTAGTATCAGTAGTTATTATTGAAGATTAATATTATGTCAGCACCTAGGCATATGACTCCAACACAGACATTCACATTGAAGGTGCACTCATGAATTTCAAACCCTATATGAAATGATTTATTCTGGTGTTTGAAAACATGTTTTGATAATAGCGGTTTTAATGCCTTTAAGCTATTTAATTGCCATTAAGTGGCATAATACGCTGTTTGGAATGGAGAACCGGGAGTATTTTGGTTGCAAATAGGATAATGAAATGGATTGAAAACAAGGAGGAGTAATAAGCAAATAGATCTGTACTATTAACAGCTACCTTGGGCTTTGCATCCTATTTATGACCCAGGTATACCATGTGCACCATCTAAGGTGGGATGTCTTTTTCACCAGGCAGTCATGGGTTTTACTACAGATAGTACTCTGTCTTGGACTGATCCTGTCCCTGCTGAAGTACTACTAAAGCTATGTTAATTTTAATAGTAGTGGATTAAACCTGTGGACCATCATTTGTTACTATGGAAGTCAGGGAAAGCTCTGCATGTGGCCTGATGTGGGACCCAGTCAATCATTCTGTCTGGCACAGTTGTGCACGAACATCCATTTTACTGAATAGTGGGCTGGTATCTGTGTAGAATGTTATTGACAGGGCTTTTATATTCTGCATGGTACTCAGTGGTTCTGTCAGTTTGTAACACTTGCCCCTAGTATTTTTTTGAACTTCATGAAAGAGGTGTGAGTGGTTAGAATTTCCCTTTGGAAGTCTCCACGTGACAAATGTGTCTGTTCTTCAGAAAGTGAAGTCATATTGTGAGAACCGAACTTCCAGAGATTTCAAGGCCATTGTTTAATAAGAATTCGCATTAAAAAAGGCAGAAGTCTCAAACTCCTTGTTCAGAAGAAAAAAACCCCACAGTTCTTTAAGGTCCCAGCTACTTTCTCTGTCTAAACCGTGTGCAGCTCTACCAAATGACCGACTTCTTATAGAGACAAGCAGTTGATTGTGTAACTGGTATGCATAGTCGCTGTGAAATGCATTGCAGAAAGTGTGATTTTTAGATGATAAAGTAAACACACCTAAAATAAAAAATAAAAAAACCCACATGATATATTTGGAGTTTTTACATGAAATCAAGATATGATCACAAGAGGATTTGGTACTGCACATTTTTAAAATTAACTGTAGTTTTTTTGTTTCATCTTGCAAGAGGCCTGAACTCTTGTATGTTCTGCTATATTTGCTTCTTAAAGCATAGACCATAATAGCTATATAGAAATTTAATTGATGGGTTCTGTAGAATCTTTTAAATAGGGACAAGTAGCAGTTAGGCTTAAGTGATGCATTATTTGGAGGACATGTGCACGATAAACCTGACAGTCTTTCCTCATTTCATTTTTTCAATATTTGCTGTGTTACTTGTGCTTTACTGATGCAGTGAAATTGTGAATGCTGTTCAGTGTTCTGTGCTGATTCTTCCATTGTTGCTGTTCAGTTAAGCTTTTCCAGAAACACACAGAGAGAACAGAACAGTAGAGGTACGAACAGAGGTCTTGTGCTCAGAGGGAATGAGAAAGACTGATTTATATGCTCAGGAGATCAGAAAGCCAGTGGAATCGTATGTATTGTGAAGATTTAGCCTGCTTTCTTGTAGGCCTAATTTATTATGATAAAACTGCCAACAGGTGAATTATTGAAGAGATAAGAAGGAAATTACCCCAGGATAATGTACTGTGCTCACAATCAGGTAATATAGTCTGTGATCAGTTGCCGTTGTGCTCTCCAGCAGGAACCTGTAGCATTTCTCCCAGGTATTCTCCTGGGATGGGTGGCACTCCTGAAGAGAAAGATATAATATGAGCTGGAGAAAGAATTCCACATATCATGGGCCATTTTGGTGGATCTTTTCAGTTTCCCCAACAGAAAGATTTTCTAGGCAGTTGAACCTGTTGTTTTTTCCATATGGTTTCCACAGTCTTTAGTTGAGTGAACATTTCATCATCATCACCTGAGTGTGCTGTGGTCCACCACTCCTGAACCTTGTTGAAAAGCTGCTGTGAGTCTTAATGAACAGAGAATCATGCCCCAAGAGATAGTGTTCCCTGTAATGGTGCTCACAACATTCTTATTTTCCTTTTAGTATTATTTAACCCACAATCTAGTTTTCAAAAAAATACATCATGGAGGGCAGCCAGGTCTGTTAAAATTCTACCTAAGAAGAAAAGCATTCTAAATTCAGTGTCTTGTGTAACTACTGTGGAAGCCAAATGATGGCATTGTCTTGCTTTTTTTCTTGCCCTGTACCATCTGCTTCAGTTTCCATTTCTCTGCTGATAGATGTATTAAGTCAAAAATACTGATGTAGGCAATTGCAAAACATAAATTCACTACTTCCTGTTAAGCAGAGAATAACTCTTCTGTATTCAAACTTCATTTAATTTTGAGAATTATTCTTACAGCTCTTTTCTAGTCTACAAAAATCCTCCAGAAGTCTTTGGAGAGAGGTATATTTGCAATATCTTGGCCCACCTTTGTAAGAGTCAAAAGTGTAGCTTGATGTCTGTGTATCTGTGATTATCTGTTTGTTCTGTTCTAGAACCTTTTCCTGATGCTTCTTTTATGTAAGTGCTTCATTTTCTCTGTAAGTGGTTCCTTCTGGAAATAAAAAGTTTGTAGGAGATGTTTCTCCATCATACTCTGTGGTAAAGATCAATGCACAGAAGTAATTTATTTTATCTGCAGTATCCATAATTGATGCCTGATCTTTTAGCAGAACATCTGATTCTTTCATAGCCTTCCTGTGACTGATACACTTAAATGCTTTATTTATTGCCTCTACCTAATAGCTTTTAAAGTTCTCTTGGTTTCCTGAATGATTTGCTCTGGCTAGATTTTATTTTTGATAGGATGTGTTGTCATTTAACTTGCTGTCTTGCCCTGCTGCATTCTAACTTTCAGGAAGAGGAGGAATTCCATACCTTCCTGGATTAGATTGCAGTATAATTTGAAACTCTGGTATTTTATATTCTCAGGCTTTTCCCCTTCCATTTAATTTCCTTCCTTCTTATTTTTTTTTTCCAGCTTCACAAGTTTTTTGAAAAACTTTACCTGTTACTCGCTAATGCTGTTGTCTTCATTGTCAACTCTCTTTTCTGTCATAACTAAGCTGCATCATACGCTCATGTTTTGAATCAGCTTCAGTTTTTCTGTGAGAACTGAGTCAAAACTGGTTCTTGATATCCTTTTCTTGCTGTTTCAAGAAGCAGTTGTTTAACATGCTGAAGATTTGCTGCTAGAAATATCAAAATAATAGACTATAAGAATAGAATCACATTTTCCCCTGTTTACTGTGTTCTGTGATCTTTTAAGTGACCACAGCGGGGTAGAATTTTCTGTATTTGCTTATATCCATTGGGTGGGAAGTTGTCAGGTTATCCACTCTCCTCCTTAGTCTTTTCTTACCTTATTTCATGAGGAAGAGTTTGAAAACTTTTTCAGCTTTAACAATGCTCAAGTTCCTCTCTGTCAGAGTTTTCACATGATCATTGCATTTGAGTGAGTAATTTTTTATATTTTCTTTACATGTTGAGAATGTATTCTGTTACCCATGGGGATAAAATATTTGCGAATTACCCCCAGAAATTAATGTTTTTGTATAGCAATATAGATCTATCATCCCAATTCTGTGTTGCGATTCCTTAAATTACATTCTTAGTATGGATATACTGCATAAACATGGCATTTTTTTAAGTGTTGTGTAGAGCTCAAGTAGATGAATTCCTGCAGTGGGCCTTCCCAATAAGCAAATCCTTATCCTTCATGTTTCCTGCCAGTTCACATGTGGCTGTGCAACTTAGGGTTTTTTTTTTTCTATTTTATCTCTCTGCTGGACCATCTGAGAGCTGCCATTCCAATTACATGAATTATTTGTTTACTGAGGAAAAATTAGAGCAGCGTGACTCTGATGAAGGATCAATTTCCTGTTGGTTTCTTCCTTCAGAAGACAGGATGGTCATTTGAGGAGAATTCCAAGGATGCTTTGATGGGGTTTCCCATGCTTTGGCACTTCTGCATTCCTTTCCTTTACAATATATTGGGTTTGCAGCTGCCAGATTTGTCTTCAAAGGACAAATACATCACTGAGAAGGCAGACTAAATCATTCTATCCTCTCCTCAACATATGGGTAGTTTCTGTCTTGATTCACCTCTAACTGCTTCTTGGTTATATATAACCACTTTTGCATATGCATGCTGCTACACTTTTGCTTTGGAAAGTTGTGTTTGTGGGTGTATGTCTTTAATTTCAATAGAGAAAAAAATTTTTTTTTTTTTATTTTATTGAAGTTATCTAGCTAATTTCTGAATGACCTTTCTGCACTTTAGGTCATTATCTGGTACTGTAAAATTTCAATATAATAATAAGTTTGGGTGGAGGGGATGTGTATTCTGAATGACAGATGTCCTCAAAAATGTTTCGTCATTTTAAAAGAGGCCTATTTTCCACTTGAAAATAAGATTTCTGGGTTTTATGATTCCTTTTTGCTTCCTCAGGAACAATTTCAACTTCCCAGAGTATTTATTTTTAAATTTAGTACCTTTTTGACACTTTCTACTTCTGCATTTACTACTCTTGCTGTTTTCCAGAAATCATGATTAAAGTGAATATTTTAATGCAGTAAGAGAAGAACTTTAGTACAGTCAGTTGCCTTTATTCCTTAGGCATGGTACTAAGCTTTATTTTGATTGGTAAATTTGTAGTGGTTTATTTTTTTTTCCTGAGCAGGTAATTGAGTGAAGAATAACACAATTTTGAAAAAAAAAAAACCCTTTTCAATTTTGTTCACATTCCTCAACATTTAGAAGAAGATACAGCAATACTGAATTTAAAAGGACAATCAGAATATTAAAAAATATTCCATTTTATTGCATATGAGGTAACACCACAGTCTGTTTAATATTATAGTGGGATCCTTTTTTATTGGCAGATGTGTAACATGTTCCAAAATGTATGAATGCATTTGTTTTTTAAAAGTCCACATGCAGTAAAACTTCTGTACATCAGTGAGAGAATTAAGCTAAATTCTGTTACATCCTGTAGTTAACCACTTTTCTTTGTCATGCAATTAAAACGTATCACCGCAGTTGATATACAGCCTTAATAGTGGTTCTGTAGAACTTGGCGTAAGCATCTGTCATGTAAAATAGTCCCTCACATATAAGGTCATGAGTTAGAACAACGTTAAAATGTTAGCATAGAAAGTATGGGATTAGTTGTTTAAACAAGTGCCCTAATCTGTTAAAAAAATCTGAGCAAACAGCAATTCCTATTACATGTAGCCCCAGTTATTCAACACCAGTCCTCACTGCTAAAAATGTCATTTGGATAATCCCTTTTCTTTATTGGAAACATTGACCTATCTTTACTTCTGACGTACAGTCACCGAATAGTATACTGTATTTTCAGCTTTGTAATGGGCTTGGGTGATGTCATAAGCTTTAGGATACTCATTTCAAAACCTCTAACAATTCGCCCAGAATGGTCTCTGAAAATGCAGAGTGTTGGTAATACATTTATCTAATATGATAAATGTGGGCCTATTATAATTTGCTTGTTGAAAAGTTATTTTTGTCAACCAATTTACTTGCCCACTTATTATTATACTTATTATTTACACTTATTTTACTGTGTAACCTTTATTTTCCATTGCTTTTTTTAGGCTAAAAAATGTTATTTTCAGAGTTACTCTGACATAAATTTGCAATTTTCATGGTGTGCCCTTGATACAGCAGTGTGTGGGCCTCCAACTTTTCTTCTTACCGTCACCAGTCTCACTGATTCATTTGAGTTATACCAGTGCATTTTTTTCCCCAAAACATTTAAGAGTTTTCTAGCGTGGGGAGTGTGGTGGTTTGGGAGTTTTCTATATTTGTCCCTTTCTATTTTGGAGATCAGTATTTGTGAATTCACACAACCACAAAAGCAGAACCTACTAACTGGCCCCTTCCTTTGTCTTCTCACTCTTACAGTGCAAGTTGACGTATAATCAGAGGATTTTAACACGCTGTTGCCCAGTCTTTGAGCTTCACAAAGTTTTATTCTAGTGTTTCGTGATACTTTTGGAAAGTTTTTCTGATGTCCTGTATGACACTACTTCTGTTGATTTTCCTGAGGTGCATAGGTAGAGTTGCATGAGTTTGGCCTACTTTCTTTTTTCATTTATGATTTGATGGCCATTTGTTTTTTGTGCTGTGTGGTTGATCATTTCTGCTTAAGCATCATACCTTGTGTTTGTGTCACTTGAAGAACTTCAAGTTTTTTAGATTGTTACCCACAGTCAGTAATTTTTACCTCTTTGCTCTCACCAGAACTCTTACTTGAAATACTTCAAGTGAAATACATATGGCACAGACAAGCAAGAATTGTTTCTTTTAACATATGAGGAGACATTAATGTTTTTATAGATATTCCATGAAATTAATACCCCTATTCTATATTTTTTTCAAGCTCCATCACTGTTTTCTTCTTTCCTAAAATGCTGAGTTACTCTTAGAACCTTATGAACTTATACCAACTTCATACTGTTTTAACTACCCGTTTTAGTGGTTGCATCTCATGTAATTCTGTGGGAGACAGCGAAGATTTTAACGAAGTGAGAAAAAGAATGTCTTTTTATTTTACTGTTTATCTGGTATGATACGAGCACTGAAATTTTAATGTATCTATCTACACCGCTTAGTAAGAGTGGTTTATACCCTTTTATAATAGGAGTTAATACTGTGAAGAAAGTTGAAACACAACAGTAGTTACTTAATTTTTATGAATCTTATGAGGATATTATATTTTAGGGGTTGTTTTTTTTGTTTGTTTGGGGTTTTTTGTTTGGGTTTTTTTGGGGTTTGTTTTTTTGTTGGTTTTTTTTTGTTTTGGTTTGCTTTGGTTTTTTTTAGATTATTGTTATAATGATCCATTTTCCTGTGTTGCATTTTGGCTTTTTTTCTTCTCCCCCACTTCCCTTCCTCTTCTCCCTCTCCCCCCCCACCCCTCCGGCCACATAGTACACAAGACACAGGAAGGCTTAGACCTGCAGTTGATAATATCCATCTGATTTATTTATTTTAACTGGATTTGAAAGTTTTACTACTTTTTATGGTCTCTAATGGGTTACAGGTTCAATAACTCTTAAGAAGCATCAAAGACCTGGTTTGATGACTAGCTTAATGGTTCTTCCAAGAACAATTTGTAGAGATTAGGATTGAGTGAGGTACTGTTGGAGGATTAGCAGTAGCTTCTTAAGGCATTCTGAGTTGACAGCTAATGGATAGCTTTCCCTGATAGCTCTTTTATAGTCCACTGCAGCTGGATAAAAATCAATGAGAAAGTGAACTTGTTTGTTTATCCATTAATTTGGGGTTTAACAGATGAGTTTGGCTTCCATAGTAAGTTGTTTAATATGTCGTCCCCATCTATCATGATCTAGGTAACCTCAATTAACACACTGATTAATCCTCAAATTCTTTTTCAGTAGTTCCCTTCTTGATTGCACAGTGTGAAGGGAAGTATTCCTGGTATGTCTAAACAGACAGCACACATGCTCCTCAACACCCAGATCAATAGTGCCTGAAGAAAAGGAACCCTCTTTTCCTCCTATTTCCTGCCTTCCCTATGTGCAAAATAAAAATGTAGTATATTAATTTGTTTGGTTTTTTTTTCTTCATCTGCTGCACATTTTGCTACTATTTGAACTTAAAACTAGTAGTTGCCCTGAACTTCAGTGTTAGTAGCTGTAACTCCGAAAACACATTTCACATGTCACCATAGAATAGCAAACATGATATAAAATGGGTTTATTTTTAAAGGACTTTTTGTGAGGAAGCCACAACCCTTATATTGAATCTAGTAATCTAGTGGTATTCTCACAGTTGTAATCTAATTTAAGCACTCTCTGGCTTAACTTTAGCTGTCATATCTGTTGAATATTGACTGTGGGACAGTTCTTCCCTTAGTTACATGGAATAAATACAATATGTCAGTTGCAATATTTTCATCACTCATGTGGAAAGAAGCATTTATTTATTTTATGCTTTCACTTATTTTTTAAATGTGGAAAAAGTCCAGTACATCTGTGAAAAGTCTGGTGGGTTAGTTGTTTGGTTGGTTGTTTGTTTGGTTGGTTGGTTGGTTTTCCTTTTCCTTCATTAGCAGGAACTAATTATGGAGCTTTCTCTGCAGTGGGCAGGAGTTACAGGAAAAAAGGTTTTAGTAAGAAACTTATGAAGAAATGAAATATGTATGTTGAGTGAATAATATTTAAGAGAAAACTACATGGAAAATGATCTAGACACCATTTTTGTAAATTCAGTAAATTAATGTATGGGCAAGCTATTACAGGAATTACTATACAAAATAAGCCATTTTATACTGCAAAAATAATCCATTTTACACTTTTAAAATTTTGCTTTAAGTAATAATGAACAAGAGCTTTACTTTATAACCAAACAAAAGCCTCTAGGCTGCTATTGTTGCAAGAAACTTCCTTTTCTGCCATGCCTGTGCTGGGATGCAGCTGTGACACAGTGTTAGCAATGCCACATCTGACAAACTGTTCTAGAAGTAGAATGGAATTTGCAATTATTTTTGTAGGTTTTATGATGCCATTTAATTTGTACTTTCATTTGTTTCCTAATGCTGATGGTAGGTTCTCTTTGGAATACAGCATGAACTAGATAGCAAACATATATTCCTGAGATCTGAGTGAACGTTAGAATGTGTATCGTCTTATTTAGAAATTATTTTCCCTGGTGGACATAGGTTAGTTTATAAGTTTATATTCTTATGCTTAAAATCTTAAACAAGTTACAATATATAATCTTCTTAAGCGAACTTGTTGTACCTAAATGGTGTCTTTAAGTGACTAACCTTTGTTTTCCACAAAAGCAAATATTTATCCTTACGAAGCCAGAAATTGAGTAAACATAATTTTTTTCTGCCTTTGGTGGTATTTGCCTGAGTGGTTTCTTTCCTGTATCTCTGCAACTTCTTACAGTACAGATGAAAACTATTCCTCAGTTTTGAATGTGGAACACCAGTGTGGTGCTCTCATACATTCCTGTCTCTTGACTCGGTAGCCAGGGCGATGCTCCAGCGGTTCATGACTCCTGCTGATGTGCCCAGGGCTTCCAGCAGCACTGGCCCACTGGAGCATCAAGCACCAACTGAAATCTTTAATGTCATCTGAAGATCTCTCTGCTA